CCATACTTTGATGAGCCGTGTTATAGATAGAAAAAGGGATAAATCCCTTATCCTAATTTTCTATTTTGAATTCAGATGTCTCATAATGTATGAAGATTCCGGAGGATAACGAATATCAAAGGTTTTTTTTGTTTTTTATATCGAAGCAGCCGCGCAGGCAGAGCCTAAATGCGGAACACCGCGGCTGCTATGATGATCCAAACGAAATTTTGTTAATACGATTTTTGAACTGCCTAAGGTTAGTAGAACTGGAGAAAAGCTTCCTCTTGTAGATTGTTCCACAATCTGGACACCATCGGGACCAACGAGCGGTCGTATCGGCCAGTTCAGGATGTACGAAATTCGGCACGGTTAGGATGGGACGCCAAAGTCAGGCGGGTCTGTCTGGCAGGAAATCGCGCGGCGGCATCATGGAAGAGAGCTCTGAGGAGCAAAGCCCGTGGTATAGCGGTAGAAAACAGCTAGATCGCCGACGGCCCGCCGGTGCGAAGGAGTCCCGAGACTGTCTTTTAGAGAAGAGAAAAGTGCGGGGAGAAAAGTACTCTAGCCCTAAACAAATAGCCTAGCTTTTTCCCAGCAGCTGCAGCTATTGACGAGACGTTTCGTGCCAGATCAGGTCCTCGGTGATCTGGACTACGTCCAGCCGAAATGAATGGCTCTTCGGCAGAACTCGGCCATCCATCGAAACCGGACGAGCGCTAGGACGCTTTTTGTTCGTCAAAGTACAGTACTGTGTTTGGTAGCATTGAAATGTACAAGATTGTGCGTCCCCAAGCAGTGATAGCTCCAGGTCTTTTGTCAGAAAGGAATAAGTCGTCGCTAGTCCTTTTTTCCAGCTCAGCGGCAGATCGCTTGTCACTCTGAATTCCTGCATGGAGAGTGCTGTCATCAGCGAAGCTGGGGGTTGATCGAACGCTTTCGTGATGCAACGACATGAGCCTACCAAAAAACTGGATGAGTTTACTCTACGATTGCGTGACGTAAGCTGTATATTTATGGGAGCACAAAGTTGGGTTTTCCTTTACCACGACGTGTAGATCTGAAAACATAAGCATTTTTAGTACCATATACACCATGTCTAAGGGAACCGAGATAAAGGGCTCTGCAACATCAAAAATATCTGAATACCGTCCTAGTCGCGGACCCGGGCCTCACATATTGGTACAAGGTCTCAACGCACGGCCGAGAACTGGGTCGGGGTCAGTGTGTCAGGCCAGTATGCAGCCAACCGATGGTTACGGTCACGCATGTAGAGGTAATCGCATAGACGAGAATCTTAGAGATGTGGCAGAGAGTGCAAGTATCAAAAACTGAAGTGTGGCAAACGCGCGTGAAGAGGGGCTATCCGTTTCACGTCCAACGTGTACAGGCCTTCAACCTGACGATTTTCCAGCAAGAGTGCGGTTTTGTGAGTGGTTGTTGCATCAACATGACAATAATCCGGACTTTTTGAAGTGCATATTGGTGACAGACGAATGTACGTTCACGCGTAATGGGGTGAATAACTTTCGCAACACTCATGTTTGGTCAGTAGAAAATTCGCACGCAATTACGCAACATTTTGCCTTCCTTGTTAGAAGATGTGCCATTAAGTGTAAGACAATCAATGTGGTTTCTGCGTCTGCTCGGTAGCGCTTCAGCTGATTTCATTTTCTGTTGGAGCGGTATGATTTCGGGCAGAGACGTACTTAGCCCTTCTCGTCAACTGGGGAGTGAGTACTTTTTCCTTTATTTTTTTGGTCGCCCTCGTTTCACTACACATTACCTTTGTTATTTCAAGGGTAGTTGTTCTGAAAAGGAAAACCCCAACTTTTCGGACACCCTGTGTATATATATATACGAGCAGCATTTGGGAAATATGATGAGCTTATACCGAGCGTCCCTCGTATACACTATACCTGAAGTTTGGCAATGATGTTTACATTTCCACATTCCTTCGCGACAGTCACCTATCATCTGTCGACGTATCACTCTTCCGGTTCGCTCATTTTCTCCACGTGGAATAGATGTAGGAAGTTAGAAGGGACCGGTTGTTTTCTCCCAAAATTGCTTTTCGATAATTTTCAATGTGTTCGGGTCTATTGATATATAGTGTTAACAACGAGCGATGGTTTCCGTCGTTATCAATAAACCCAATGTGTCCGTCCTTTTGGTTTATATTTGTAACACGTGCTCTCATCCACGCTTTCGTTTTGAAACATCATTCGGCTCAGCGACGAGTAAGTTGTCTGATAATTTAAACCCGTCCCGTATTGGTTGCTAGCTTCGTATTTGTGTTTTCAGCTTCTGAAGATGACTCCATAGAGACGCCGAAAGCTCGAGATTACCGTTAAAAGAGTTTACTAAACAATTGATTGTATTTTGTCCAACTGGTCATTGGCAATGGCAATGACTACTGCTCGCATTATATATATATATAAACAGAATTTTTATACATTTTTAATTTTATTTTTCATTGCCAAAAACTTTTGAGCTCTAACGTGTATGATTCACATGTTAATATACTTCAAAATCAGTCAACAACAATGTGACTATACATCTCTCAGATGGCGAAATATGGCAACGCAGCGCTATCAAAATTCGCATCCATTCCATCCTGTGATCGATAATCGATCTTCTGTGGTCTATTCTACAACGTCACTGCAGTATATATGTTTTGTGGTCACTTCTCACTTCTCACTTGTTCTGTATTGATATTTGACGTCGACATTTACGATCGGTCAATTGGTTTTGAAAATATCAGTCGAAAATCCGAAAATGGCGTTATTTGTTCTTTTTCCAGTAAATCCAGAACGGTTAATTTGACAGCTGTCAAAATGTGACATTTTTCGGACATTTTTTTTAGAAAAATAAATCAAATTCAAGCGGGTAACTAAATGAAAATGGTATTTACCATTTTGGGTTGGTATTTACCGATCCGTTCAAGCGATTGTGGTTATCAGTTTGGTTATAAGATCCGTGACGTCATGAATCAGCTGTTTGTTATATGTCATAGTTATCACCGCAAAATTCTGGTTTTTACCCAACTCAGAAGTTGTTTTATATTTCTGGTTATTATTTGAAATGTGACAAGTTAGAATTTTGCCGGGTATTGGGAAACTTGATACAGGCTGACTTCAGTTTTAGCATAGCACCTTATTAGTTATACTCATTACTGTTGTTGGGGACACTTTTAATCTGGTTCCTATGCTTAACAAAGTAACCTGTGTAGCCATATACCACAAGAATATTAAAATATGGCCATATAAACTCACTGGATGATGTCCACCTGTATACGATTTTGGTAATATCTTTCTTCATCGCTTTTTCATCATTTCTGCTAAATCAATAAATGTTTTCTTTGACATGCGGAAAACTTTAGAGAATTGATGGTTCCATCATTAAAAATTTTTGTTCTAAAAAAAAAAAAACATTTCTCCCATGAATATTATGAAAGGTTTCTTATTTAAACTTTCCATACACCGTTGTAGACGAAAAAGCACCGATTATTAAGTGAAAATGAAAATAATCAGAGATTATATACCCGCATTTCTAAAATAAACAACTTGCAACAAAACCGCGGTTAAAACCAACGCGTTCAAGCGTGTCATCTTGAACCATATTATAACCGTGGCACATAACAGAAATTTTGGTTATTCGCTTTTATTTGATTATAGGTAGCATGTATGACATGTCTCAATCGTCTTTTGTTTTCCAGCAACCCGCCTGCACTTTCATTTTTCTTATGGCCGCCATTTTGGATTTTTTGATTTTTGAAAAGAGTGTAAAATTTCTAGTCTAGTAATGTCTCACAAGTGCATTAAAGGTTGGAGTATCATCCTAATATCATCACTCGTAATGTTATTTATTAGTTTTTTTTCCTAATGAGGCCATGATTTAGAAAAAAATGAGTAAGGCATAAAAAACATACATGCCTTGAATTTTCAATAGAATATTAACGTTAATATCGGCTTCTAAATAAGTCAAATGTTTTTGGACTAATTCCCAACTATGAGTGTGTTAAAAAAACAAGTCAGAAAAATCGTCGTAAATTTATTTTACACATGGACAAACAAGCGTTTTTCCAAATTGTAAGTGGGTATTAGCTCACAGTTTTTCTTACAACCTTAGCTAGTGTATTTCTATTAATGTTTCAAACTGTGCTCAAAATTCTTTGTCTTAGGATTCCTATGGTCGTGGAGGATTAAATTCATAGACCTCATTCGTTGTGAGACCCCAGAGGTAGAGATCCAAGCGTAAAAGGTCAGGGGATCTAGGAGGCCAAGATATTGAACCATTGAATGAAATTATTCTTTCATCAAACTGCTCTCTTAAGAAGTTCCTGAATGGTGTTGTGAGCCGGACATCCATTCTGTTGAAACTCATCTTCGGTTAGACTAGTTCGTAAAGCCGGCACAACCTGCTTTTGTAAAAGCTCTAGGTACTTCTGTCCCTTTAGGTTGTAGTCAAATAATAATGGTCATATAAGTCTATTTCCTGAAATTATTAATACTAATTGTGCCCAATTAAAAAAGGTAAGTTAGATTAAATTACCAATGACCCCACACCAAACATTAGTTTCAAATCTGGTCTGTAGACGTCTCTCTGCCACTTCGACAGGGTTTTCCACAGGTCAATGATGGGTATTGTGCTTATTAAAAACTCCACAATTCGTAAACCTACTCTCGACGGGCCACAAGACATGATTTACAAAATCGGGATTTCACGAGTATCCATCACGCTTTGACGTCTACTGAGGTGAACTGCTGGCGTTTTGCTTTTTGTAGGCAAATGAACTTTTCTAAATAAAAGAGCTGTTAGCAAGAACAAAATGAATCTGTAGCGTACAAAAAAAACGAAACAAAATACGGCTCTGTCTACCTGGCGTTGACGGATCTGTCAGAATTATGTGTCCTGTATCGATATGGGGAGTTTTCAAGTATTACTAGATAACCAGCTGTCATTCAACCGTGATGGATACTCGTGGAATAGGGTATAGGTTTGCATGGATGGTATTTATTTTTATTTAAGACTCTCTGTACTGTTGATTTTGATACACGGATTTCTCGTTTATAGTTCTTATTCTTACTGATGCACTAGGGATTTCGTTGACAGGTTGTAAAATTTTTCTGTCGCGATTTTCATTTTCAATATTGTATCCGCTTCTAAGTTGTTCGAAGGCCCCATGGTTTAAAAATTAACTACTGTTCTTCTAAATTGGGTTTTATGTGCCTGCCATCGCGTTGTTGGGGATACATCTCCAAGTACCTTGCTGAGGTAATGTCGGCGTTTCTGTGTTACTGTAAGTACAGCGCTAACATGTCAAACTTTTCTTCATTTTAGTAGGAAATATCGGCAATTTTCTACAGGTTTTGACATTTTTTTATTGTCAGATTTATGATTTTAATGAGAGAAAACGGACATACTACTATATTAAAACACAATTTTAATACTGTGACGATAAATAGTACTGTTGTCGCCATCTGTTGGGAGAGTCCCCTACTCGCCAGAGCTTCATGGCCGATCTCTGCTTTTACGGGGACCACGACCACTTGGCGGCGTATGTGAGGACCGTGGCAGCGACTCGCCTTCTAGATCGATGCGAAGTAACCTCGACTATTCTCGAAGGCCGCTATGTGGCTCCCGATTCTTCTCTAGTCAACGCTGCGGACTATATACAACTCGGCGGCCGGGAGATGGAAGCAGAGTAGGCGAACGGTAGAGTAGCAGAGCAGAGTGGAGTATAGTGCAGGCAATGGCGACATAAGAATTATTCAGACATAAATAGTGGTGTATATAAATGTTTTATCAAGTTAAATGAATTAGTGCAGTTCTTTCTGTGGAATCCAGTGTTTTAATCCACACCCAAGAGAACCCAGAAAAACGCTACAATCCTTTGAATTATTTAACGTCAAATTCAGAGCCTCCGTAGATGAAAAAAATGCGTTACTTATTAATTTTATTTTCTGACAAATAAATCATGGACTCCTTAGAAAAAATTAATACATAACATTACGTGTGACGATATTTCGATGATACTAAAATCTTTTATGCATTTGTGAGCCATCACTAGGCTAGAAATTTTACGTTCTTTTCAAAAAGCTAAAAATCCAATATGGTGGCCATAAGAAAAATTAAAGTTGAGGCAGGTTGCGGAAAAACAAAACTCGATTGAGACATGTCATATACGCTATCTTAGGGCTGTATTGTCAGTCGTTCCTAAAATTAGGGAGGCCATAAAGACGCCCTACAATTGTTGGACGCCTTTATGGCCTCCTTGATTCTTATAGTCTTGCCTCTGCTTCAGAAAGGCTGGGATATTTCTAGATTTCTACGTTCCGTGTCAGTGTCAGTGCTCTCCTATTGTCAGGCTATGTTTTCTTGTCGAATTGTAGGAAATTTCAGGCTATATAACAGATGATATAAATCAAAAGCGTGAACAACTTGATGCAATAATTATTTGTCACAAACCCTCAAAATAGAGCGCTGGCTCGGAAGACTAGAAAACTATGAAAATCAAGGAGGCCATATAGGCGTCCTATAATTATTGTAGGAAAGACTGACGATACGACCGTTATTTGCCTTAAAAAATGTCCGAATAATGTCACATTTTGACAGCTGTCAAATTAGCCGTTTCGGATTTACTGCAAAAAATGAAACTCGACATTTCAAGTTTTTCGCCCATATTTCCAAACCAGTTGACCGATCGTAAATCTGAAGCCGGCTATCGAATGCACTAAGATTCCTCTAAAATTTTCTCCATTTAACCTTTGCTGTAGGTATAACAGAGCCGAGATCCCTGTTTAGGGAACCGAATCTGGGACACACTGTATAGAGGAAGCTCGAGGAGAGTGGCTGAAGGAGCCCCAGACCAGAGTGAAATCCGGAGTGTGCTTGTTGTTGGAAAAAATAAAGAGGAGAGGGGGCCACTGAGACATTTCTTTTAAAATCAGCTCGATTTTTGATCATTTGTTGGCATTTGCTGGTCCCTGTAGCAGTGATTTGATCAAACATCAGATGACATCAATCACTTCTTAGAGCTTCTGTCAACAAAGTTGATCGCTAGTGACCAATAAACAAGTACAGCATTGAATATGAAGATCTTTTTTTTGATATCCAATATGTTCTCAGTATCAGTAAACTTTTTTGTAAGTAACACAGATGAGACTAAAAGTGTTTAATGATGTTTTTCCCATTTTGGAAACTGAAGGAGGCCAAGTGAAGGAAGCTTTTCCATGATAGTTTTATGGTCCGCACATGCAAGACCATGTTTCACACGCGCAAGGTTTTTTTATTTAATTGCTTTTAGCCTCAGTGAACTTCATGACCATGTCCAAAAACTAGTTTCAATCTCTGACTATCCAACATGAAACCACAATCAAACATATATCCACAACAAATATCTTTAGCAATAGCAGTAAGTTAAGAGGGAAGAATCTTCTTTCATTTACCTCAGACTCTATGGAAATGGAACCTATATTACAGGATGTTCACAAAAGGTTGGATAAAAATTCAAGGTGTGATTCCATCAGGACTATTGTGTCTTCTGATAATTTTTGAAATACTGCTTCGTTCAATACGGGTCGCCACTAAAAATAGATTTTTCTTAAATAACAACATTACCGTCGTATTATGCAACAAAATTTTAGTAGTGTAGTGTAGTTAAGGCTTGAAATGATGGTGGCCAGAGAAAGAAATTTTAAATCATTTAGATCACTATGCGCGGTTCAACAACGTCCCTGAAACTAGCTTAAGATTCAGATTCGAATATTACGAAATTAAAGTCGATCAGTTCAATCCCGCTAAACACATCAATATACAGGGTCCGTCAGAAAGAACGCATGTTTCTCAAATGGGCACTACATCCAGTGGGCTGGTCCCGTGTCGGTGGGGAAGGGCGTGTTGGATAGTGGGAGAAGTGCCGTTTCAGTTGGCAAGATGGTTTGGAACGTTGAGCATCCTGAGTTTCCAATTCACTTTCATGTTCCATGTCGTGCGACAGTATCAGACCGTAACACCATTTTGAGATGGGTGGAAGCATTCAACACAACAGGTAATGTGATGAAGAAAAAACCGCCTGGGGACCCCCGAAAACGTAGACAGAATAAGAGTTGACACGCTGCAAAGCCCGAATCGTTCCGTCCGTTTGTGTGCCAGTTCCCTGTACGTCGCATCTTGAAGAAGGATTTAGTGTTCCATCCTTACAAAATCCAAGTTTGTAAATAACTGTTGCCAGGGGATTACGCACAACGTGTTAATTTTGCACAGCTCGTGATTGAACAGTTGGATAACAATGATATGACGTTGTTTATGAGTGATGAAGCACATTTTCATTTACATGGATACGTCAATAAATAAAATTGTCGATATTGGTCTCCAGTGAACCCCGAACAGTTGCATACCCCGAAGTAAGTAACCCAAATTCCTGCACGGATGCTGGCCGACGCAATGGGTTCATTTCGGGAGAGGCTTGATTCCTGCATATCGGCTCAAGGGCGCCATATGGCCGACATAGTTTTTAGAACGTAAATTTTGTTTTATTCAAAAATGGCATATATTTCTGAGTATTTTGATGTAATCAAATATTTTTACCATACTTATTTTGACTGTACTACTCATTTAAAAACATGCGTTCTTTCTGACGGACCCTGTATAAATGTTACCTAAATTTTATATTTCTTTGTTATTGGTTATGTAAAAATGAAGTAAGCACTAAATCCAAGTAAGGTAAGCATGAACTTGAAAACTGGTGAAAATGTCCAGAACTTACTGCTCTATGCATGTAGTATTTATGTAAATGCATTTACTTTATCTCTATCTTTAACCATCGATCCTTGGTAAATTTGAAGACCATATGCTCATATGAATATGGGCCCGTAACGGTTTTCTTTTCGAGCTGGGGCACTATCACTAAGGAAATACAAGTAATGTTCCAAATATTTATATGAATAATCAAACAAACGTATTTATTGAATAGTTGGTATAACCTATGATAAAAATAAATGTTTTACAAGTTGCTGAGGCTCAATATGAACGAGTATGAAAATAGTATTATCCTGTATTTTTGGAACTTTTTTTTTATTTAGAAGGTCAATAGTTTTGAACAGTAACATTCGAATAGAACGACAACAATCGAATAGTTTTTTTTACAATAAATGTTCGAAGTGGCCACGAATTATTTGATAAAATAAATTAATTCAATTGTTTTCGGGTACGTCATAGGTGTCTAGATAAGCACAATGCTTAAATATTAAAAGTATTGCGATCAAAACAAATCAATTCCATGCTATTTTTTCAAAAAATACTGGATAACATTATTCATATCTACGTACATGGAGGGTCTGAAAACAACTGTAAATCATGTGATATTCATCACAGGGCATACTTAATTAAAATAAAATTCCATTCTTTTAAATTGTTTAGAACAATTTTCATCATTTCTTTTAGTGCTAATATGCTCTAACTTGGAAACAAAGCCGTTGCGGACCCGTGTTCATATGGAAATTTCGACTTCAAATTGACCAAGGATTCGATGGTTAAAGTTTGTCTACATACTTTATTAACACCCTGTATATTTATAGTCGAGAATTGACGTAATTGCTACATCAGCCATTTATTCCATTTCATTCAACTGGCCAATAAATAAAACCAAATAGAACCACAGAATTGATGATAGAAAAGCTTACGATCGATTCGGATACCTCGGAAGTCTTCTTCAAAGTACAAAATATGAAAAAATTAGAATATAAAGTATATTTTCTTTTATATTTTCTTTCAAAAGATATTCCTTCTATATTTTATTGATGGATTAAGAAAAAGAGTACCAAGATATCCGACACGTTAGTTAATATTTTTCCAATCAATTCATTGGTATTATTTATTGACCACTTGAAATGGAATTAGCAGACAATCACAGGTGAAGTATCGGGAACAGCAGTATTAACAGCAATTTACGTAAAAGCTTGTATACAAACTGTGTTATAAATTTTTGCAAATAGAAATTACTTTTGTGATAGCATATACATATGCTTCATATGTCATGTGTTAATTTGTGTAAAATAAAGGTACATTCACCAAGATCCACATTAGTAACTTAGATGAGTGGAAATTTATTGCACAGCAGTTTCAAACAAAATAATATATAGTAAATTATGTTAGAAGACGGAATGCGAAATTTAGAGAATTCAGGTTTTTAGTCAAACAAAAATTCTGAATACATAAATATACATATTTCAATATATTTATAAATACGGAAAACAGTGTCATTACTTACACAACTTCATCAAGCTGCAAGATTCAACTTTATTCTCAGATTACTCAGCCAGATTCCCTCAGTGATAGCATTTTCCACATTGTAGGTACTTATTGGTGTTCCTGATGATTTGGTCTCATGTCAATACAATATGGGTTGAAATGTTATGATATAAAACAGATTTTCCAAAAGATATGTTACCGATGTTAGCACTGATGTTATTGTCGCCATTTGCTTTAAAATATCTCCTGACAGATCTTTCAATGTCGTTCCTCGCCAAGGTCATTGTCCAGATCATTGGGAGAGAACTGACTTTCCATGACGTCAGCAAAAATATGCACTCTATCCTCAGTCCTGAAAACTATGCCTTCTGAACCATGAATATGTGCCTTCCGTTTCTCAGCCATTTCGCCATTTTTCAGAGAGGCACACTTGACTCAAACATCCCGCCAGAAAGTGGCCCCACTTCTTATTGCGAGTGCATTTCTCACTTCATGGACAAGACTCGTCGCTCTACGAATGTTAATCTCAGCCATTTAAAAAAAATTGTGATGGATGTCAGCAGGGAGAAAAGGTCTGCTGTGTCGCTGCACTGGAAGTACAGCAGCACGGTGTAGAGTTTGGTGAACGAAACTTGTTGTTCTCATCATCTATGACCGGGACACAGGTAGATGGTCACCAGAGATGTCATACAAGATCCTAAAAGCAATACTGAATCTGCAGTTTTTAGATTTTTAGATATTGCAAAGTCTATGACATACGGTGCCGGAAGGTGATTGAAAGGATGGCGTGTTGGCTCTTCGGTGCTGTGAATAAGATACTTGCTTCGTATCACATGGTTGTAAAGGCGAACCCCACCAGTAGAGTGCCATGATCGGTGTTTGCAGTTCTAGTCCCCTGCCGCAATAAGAGGGCCCGACAGTCCAGAACGACTTCCAACTCCTCCTCTCGCAGCCTGAAACCACTCCTGACATACACCGAGGTGAACTTCAACGGAATACGTCCAGCCATATTCACTATCACAGAAGCCGCTTGAATGCTTTGCATCTCAGTGTTTGTGCTTCTGTGATACTCAATACCACGTCTAACGAGCACAGCCAAGCCACCACCTCTACCATTCAATCTGTCAGCGCGTTATAACATCATAATTGGAGAAAGCTAAACGATCTCCCGGATTTAGTAATGTTTCCTGCAGCAGAGCCACATCTATACTCTCATCCAATAGAGTTTGACGAAATTCCCGTTTTTTTGCAATATGGCTTAGGCCCAGATAATTCCAGAAACGAATTTCGATAAATGCAGGTTGTCTATTGTACTAAGTCATTCAATGGCTGCGGAAAGATCGCCTGCAATGCCTGAGTGGCGCTATCAGGGGACTTATTATTTGTTGAAGGGACCTAGGTGCAGATGTTGAGATGACTGCTTCCGCGTATGATTTGTTGCGTCTTTGCGCTATAACTTCCAGATTTTTCCTGAGGGTGAATCGGCAAGTGGGACTGTTAGCGGGTGCGCTCCTCCACAATTCGCACACTATCGCTCCTCCTGTTTTGTGAGAGGGCATAAATATGTCATGTGGTCGGAAGCATATTTAAACATTTGGGACGTGCTGTGCAGTAAGACTGTGAATGACCATACCTTTGGCAGCGGTGACACTGCCCAATAAGTCTAGAGCCCTTTTGAACTTCAACTCTGATTACTAGACCCAGTAGCTCATGCTCATTGTACAGCTGCTTGGACTTTTCAATCTTTTGCAGTATCACAACCACCAAAGGCATGGGTGCGCCGCCACTGCGTTTGAGTTGGATAATGTGGAGGGGGAGTATATCCCCTCTGTTCTAATTTTCCCTGGATCTCCTGTTTCGAAAAGTTTGCAGGTATATCTCTGACTACCGCATGAATATTTCGTGCTGAAGGAAGAGGGAACGTATGATAGGGAACGTTCTCCTCTCTGCACATGCGAACGATCCTGTGGTGATCGGCGTGATTCGCCCCTGGCGGGGTGCTGTGCTGGTCATCTCACCAGCAACGTGAGATTGTTGAGATAATCCACCGTCAGTCGATGCAATGTCCAAATATTGACAAGATGTGGTCGCTGCATAAGACTGGCTCAAGACAAGTGGCAGAAGAAGTTGACACATTTAATAAATCAGAGGGTTTTGGAGGGACTGTCTACTTAAATTTGGATTTTGCTTTTGGAAGAGGTGGAAAGTTATCCGTCTTGTCAGTTTTGTCCGTTTTGTCGCTGCGTCTTTTTTTGGACTTGGCCTGGAAGAATCCGTCATTCTGTATTTCATCGTCGTTCGATGTCATCAGTCAAAGTTTCAAAAGGTCTTTTTAAATTGACAGCCTTATCAGATTTGGAATTAAAATTTTGATTATTAATTAACTACGAGTATGTTACCTGGGTGGCCAGGCAGTCTATTTTACTGTTTTGGTCCTTAACTGTCTCACTCAGTTCCTTTATTTGTTAGGCCTGGCTTTCGATGATCACGGTCAGGCGCTGGATGGTTGTGTCCTTTTAGTGTGCTTCAGCTGGTGTCATCATTTCCTTTGATTTCATCGCAATTTCTGTTCTCTCCTTCTGGTTGGGCTTATTCGTCATCAGGAATGCTGGGGGATCATTGCCATCTCCACGTTTTGTCAACAAGTATGTGGTATTTGCAGCAGTAGTACAATGATTCCTAATAACAGTAGGAGCGTCATGAACGCAATCATTTTTGGTATTTTGCCTAATACCTTTTCTCATTTTACCGTGCACTCCACTACAGGTAATATGGAATTTCGGGATACCATCTAGAATACTTTGTTTGAAAGCCATATTTGATAATGATTAACATAAAACACTCCACAGAGCTGAAAATACCAGTTTTTTAGCATATTGGCAATTTGAGCTCACTACTGAACTGGTCGACTGTAATTTCATCATATTCGAATCTGAATCTGAAGCTGTGTTTAAAGATGGTTTTTCTTGAAACACAAATCGTATGACTGAAAAGATGTATTCTTGTCTGACGTGGATAAAATGAGCCGTTCTTGAGAAAAACAGTCTCCCTTCATTCTCGTTTTAAATCGATTATGGTATTGTTTTTGATATACTTTCCGGCGCCACCATTTTGAAAATATAGTAAGTTTTATAGTACCCGTATAAGTCTATACCCCAACTGAAAAGATGTTTAATACACGAAGAAGTCCATGAATCCATTTGATGTCATATTCCTGTTTTATACTTTTGGCAATGCACTCAACTCATGTAGAAATCCATATATTTATTGTCAATGTAAAGATGGGTATAACAGTGTAACGAAAACACCGTTTTTACTATTTGAAGTCTAATTTTGTACTTCTACGCTAATTTATGTCTATAACCATGTCGACTAGACTATCGCGTTCTGTGGTCTTGCTGACCCATGGCCGGCTGTTGACTGTTCCTCCTTCTGCCATCGGCGTGCATATTTATGTTCAAATTTACCGATTCTAGATGTCGATCATTGCTTCTCGATGTGTTTCGAACGTTCTTGATGTCGTAGCGAACCCTTCCGACGTGTGGTCGCATAGCCGACGTACGAGGGCGTCTCAAAAAGTTGAAGTTTACGTGGGCGCTAGATTCGTAATATGTGACTAGGAGAATCTTCGGATATAAATTTTCAGTTTTAAACTTTTGTTCAAATTTTTTATGGGGTCTAGCTGCAGTGTAAATCGGGAGAAGCAATATTGAAATTGGACTGTTCTTCTTAACAACCAATCATTTTTACCACATCAAACAAAAATGTTTTTTCCATCTAATGAATTAGACTTTCCAAAAATTTTTGAGCGATTTTCATATAGAGTGTAAAAAATAACAGTTATGCATCAGGGTTAATTCAAATTTAAATTCAAATTCTTTTATTATCCCAAGAGACATTACAAAGTATGTATAGGATTCGTCGGAATAATAACTAATAAAACAACACAAAATAAATATATGTATAAAACAAACACACAAATAAATCATAACATAACAAACTCAGAGACGGCATAATAACATTTACACACAAGAAAATCTGTCAGCTTAGCCTTAAAATTATGTATATCTCCACAGTCTTTAATATGTTTTGGTAGTTTATTGAAAATTCGTGGACCCAGTATTTCCGGAGATCTGACGCCGATCTTATACTTGGAAAAATACACATTTAAGTCTCCAGCTTGTCTGGTCGAGTACGAGTTAAAATTGTTTAAAAACCTAGTTTTGTTAATAAAAGTATACACAGCCATTTCATATAAAAATAAAGATGGTAAAGTTAAAATCTTAAGGGCCGACTTCACCACACCACCTACCGGCCCGATAAAGTTACCGCCGCCAAGTTGCCGCTCCGGTAGCGAGACTTACGTTTCACCACGCGTTACCGGCCCGATAAAGTGCTGTCGCTCCGGTAAAAGTTATCCGGTCGGGAATTGGGCAGATAGCGAAGTTACCGAGGTCACGGGAGTGATCGATGCAACATGGAAGCAGCCCTTAACCTTTTATTAGAAGATAGCGACGATGAGAAAGATATGGAGCTTCCAGCGAGACGATTGAGATTTATTCGAGAGAGGATAGATCATTTCGAAGACCTAGACGATGTTGATTTTTGTAGAAGATTTCGACTTTCAAAGAACAGTGCCCTCCAAGTTCTAACTTTAATCGAACCGTTTGGAATTTCCAACGTTTGAGAAGTGAGTTGTGACGAGTTTATTTTTCAAAGAAAGACATTCCAAACATTCCCTTGTTATTTGATATTAAACTTTAAAAATTAACACCTTATGCACAAAGTTAGGTTAACTTGATATGTATTGTTTTCAGAAATGATGCTGTTTCACCCATGAACCAGTTATTGTTGTGCTTGAGATTTTACGCTACTGGCTGCACTCAATTGACCGCAGCAGATTTCAGTGGTGTCAGTGATACTACCGCCAACCGCATAATACACAGGGTTACAGCTGCTATAGCATCCCTGTACCGTCAGTTCATTTACTTTCCAAGAACTGAAGTAGAAATACAACAGACTCAAAGAGACTTTTATGTGATTGCTCGTTTTCCAAAAGTAATTGGTGCAGTGGACTGCACTCACATTAAAATACGTTCCCCTGGGGGTGACCATGCAGAGTACTATAGAAATAGAAAAAGTTTTATGTCTATAAGCTGTCAGGGAATTTGTAAAGCTAACTTAGAATTTACTGATGTTGTTGCTAGGTGGCCAGGCAGCACCCACGACCAAACAATTTTTGACAACTCTTTGCAGCGGGCTTGGTTTGAAAACAATGAATATGGAGATTCTATACTCTTGTGTGATTCTGCATATGCTTCCAAAAAGTATTTAATGACACCTCTAGCTAATCCAGCGAGACCAGAGGAAATATTATATAATGAGTCACAAATCAGGTCCAGAAATCCAATAGAACGAATATTTGGAGTATGGAAGCGCAGATTTCCCATACTCGCCTTAGGTATTAATACTCGTTTAGATAATGCATTACCAATAATTATTGCCACTGCTGTGCTGTACAATATTCTAAAGAGGGGAGGGGATCCACTTCCACCTGATGACAATGAATTGCAACTTCCAGTACCATGGGATGCACTCATTGATCAAGGAAGAATTGATAATCCCCTGATTCCAAACGAGCATGGCCATGGAGCAGACCCTTATAGACAACCTTTAATCAATTACTACTTCAGGACTCTGCACAAGAATCAGAATAATTGAGAATGTGGTGAAATTTTTGTAAGCATACTTTTATCGATATCCTGTTACAGTTGGTGTACAGTGCCTCAAAACCATTTGTTTATTTTTGGTCTAATGTAAATAGAATAGGAATAAAGTTAAATGTTCAAAGATTGTGTAGTTGATTGTATAGCATAGTATAGAAAACAAGTCTTCTTCCTCTCTATAAATTAACAATAATTATGAGAAATAATCTAAAAATAAATCTTAGGCGTAGGCAAAACAAAAGGAAGTTTAGCTTTGGCAACCGCAACTTAAAACAAGAAAAGATAATGGGTATTACCTTGAAGCTTAACTCAAAACAAAACTCAAAACGCAATGAGATCAAAGCCTTAAATACTGATTTCTATACTTAAGCATGGCACTAGTGTTAAGTGTACCCATACTCAAAAATACTTTTTGTTTCAGTCTTTAAAATTAAAAAAAAATAGAAGTAGAGTAAATCATGAATGAGAAACTTTTCACTTGCACAGTAAACCTTATCCTATGGAGGTAATGCAAATAATTAAACAGAAAAGAGTAATGTCTCACCAGTAAAGTGCAAGCGCAAAGACCCTTTCATTTTCTCTGAATCAAACAAATATAGATGCAAACAAACTTCATAAGAACAAAAAGGGGATGCACTTGCCCCACAGATACTGAGAATTCAAATAAAAAAGTGAAGTGTAGTGCTTGAAGTTTGAGCATCTCCTCCTCAAGCAGTTTCTTCCGTTTCTCCACCTCAAACAGCTCACCTTTTCTTACTCGCTCCAGCTCCAGCTCTTCTTTGGCTGCTCTAGCTAGTTCTAACTTTGCGTCTATGAGCTGGTTAGCCTTCTCATTGGTTGGTAATTGGGGCCTACGCCTTTGGCTCCTCTTAACCCACTCTTGTTCTGCTGATATCTTAGGTTTAAGAGGTGCAGCCTTTGGTGACATCAGGTGCTTAGGCTAATATTCCTCCCATTTGTGACCACTGCTTGAGGATGAACCTGCTGATGTGGTAGATGGTTGTGGCCCCTCAGAATTTACTGGTGGTTTGGCCTGTTCTACAAAAAATGCCGGCACCTGCTGGACTTCCACCACTTCCACTTCTTCCCATTGTTCTCCACTCTGAAAGTAATGAGGGTGTTCCATTACACCTTAGGTTAAAAACAATACCAACAAGAAAATTAGGAAAGAAATAGTGACTCACCAAAGACACGGACGAATCACCGTCAAAAGGGTTTTCGAGACCGACGCAGGAAGGCCCCAGCACGGCTAATACCTTCTCGTCAATAATAGAAGGTGTTGAGTTGTCGTCTTTCGTTCCACCACCTAGATATACAAGCACAAGCCAATGAAAATATAACCTCGACACAACAAGTTATGTGCTACATATAGTATTTTTCACGAGTAATCAGACCGTTTTGACGTCTACCGAATTGAATAAAAATCTGCAGCGTTGGCCATCATGAATCTGGTGTAAAACTCAGGAGCGTATTCGGTGCTGTTTATTGCTTTTTATATTATACTTGAAATGTAGACATGATCATCAGCAGCCATTTTGCTTATAGCGTTCTTTTGCGGTAGTGTGAAGAAACGTTTCTTAATAAAAGCAATAATAACAAATTCTATTCTATTCTATTCTCTAAAAAAGACCTTATCCAGTGATATGGTAGACCATTTATGCCATACTTTGACATTTTTTGCAACAGCACTTCATGATTGACGCAGTCAAATGCCCTGCTGAGATCACAAAATATCCCAAGAACTCGCCGGCCTCAATCATTTTGACAAGAGCTCCGTAGAAGCTGTGAATTGCTGTTGCCCATTTCGAAAACCGTGCTGATTCTCTGTCAAAATATTATTATTTAACAAAAACAAAAACAACCTGTCCAGATAGCAGTACTCGAATACTTTTGAAAAAGTTGATGGTATTGTTACTGGTCTGTAATTACTCAGCTCAGAGGGATCCCCTTTTTTGTATACTGGAATCACCTTTCCTGTTTTTAGCAGACAACCAAATTTCCCAGTGCAGAATGATATATTGATCATGAAGACCAGTGGCTTTAAAATGTAATTCAATACTTTTTTTACTATAAAATTTGGGATCTCATCAGGCCCAGACGAATGTTTGTTTTTTAGCTTTTTATTAATTAGGTCAAATAATTCATCATCAGTAAATGGATACAGCAACATCAAATGCCGTGTATCTTCCCTGCTCGAACTAAAGGTATTATCATGAATGGGATTTGTTGGAATATTTCTGACGATTTTTAGAGGTGCAGTTTTGAAAAACTGATTGAATTCATCAGCACGGATTTTCTGATTGGATGTAGTAGTCGAACTCATATTATTGTTTTTTTTTATATTATTTCCGGTCAGTTCAGATACAGTCTTCCAGACAGCTTTAGTTTTGTTGCTGGAGTCAAATATTTTTTTCTGATAATACCTTCGTTTTGTAAGTTCTACTAATTTCTTGTGTTGTCTCTTTTTTCAATATATTGTTGTTTACATTCTGGAATTACTGTTGCTAAATAATGAAATTCCTTTAAATTGTGACTAGAACGCACTATTTCTTCGTTCACCCACAATTTTCTTTTGATTGAAACCGTATGCTTTCACCGTGGAAAATTTATTTGAAAGTGGTAGTTAAATACCTCAAAAAAATGTCCAAACGCGAGGCTAACATCGATCATGTTATATAGTAGAGACCAATCTTCAGCACATAGACCTGATATGAATTTGTTCATTGAGTCTTCATCGTAGGACCTTTTCCAGATATTATTAGGTTTGTTTTTTGTTGAGATATTTTCATGGAATTCGAAGAAGACTGTCCTTTGGTCTGACATATTATTCTCTAAAGCGCAGGAAGTACCACTGTCCTCAAAATTTGTAAATATCTGATCAATAGTGGTGACTGAACTTCGTCCTATTCTTGTCGGCCATCCCACTGATGGAGACAAATTGAATTCACTGGGACACTATTCAGGTTTCCACATTCAGTACCTTGATTGTAATAATATATATTGAAATCGCCACATAAAATTATGTGGTGGTACGGCTGATAAACGGAATGTATTGCTTGACCCAATTTATCGTAGAAAACTTTTATATCCCCTGAAGGTGATCTATAACATTCAATGATAATCGTGGTTATACCGTTGTCTTTAAATTGAGAAGCACATAGTTCTATCTGTTTTTCAACACAAAAATTGGTAAGATCTATAATTTTGGTAGATACAGTTTTCCGGGAATATAAGGCTGTGCCCCCTCCTTTGTAGTGTGATCTACAATAGTGACTAGAAATGTGAAAGTCGTCGATAAAAATTTTTTTATTGACTCGCTCAAGGCCCAAGTCTCAGTCAAACACACGAAATTTATGCTACTAAATCCATCATTGTTAAGAGCAATTCGTCAACTTTAAATGCATTCATACATTGAATGTTTAACAATAGAAGCGATGGCACAAAATCTAACTTATTTGTGCCACATTCCTCCGTTTGTATAAAAAACGATTAACGCAAGTATTTTTGGGCCACTTATTCACATCCAGAGCTGGTTTGAAGTTGCTATGGGCAATGGTAACATTATAAGACGAATACTCTTCAGGATGTTTAGAGATGAGCTTCTCAACAGTAGCTTCAGGGAAGTGTAGTTTAACCATAGAGCACATCTCCTCAATATTCGTGTCTGGATGGATTCTGCTATCGTGTAGCGAAACTTTTTTCTCCACGCCTCTCACTGCGCCAGTTTCGGGACCTTTACCTACGACTAGGCTGCGTCTACTTCTGATGATTCGAATGACCTAACTGTTTGCTATGAACATAATCATATGAGTTCTCAATTATTCACTATGCTGCCAAAAAGTGAATGAATGTTTTACAAATGTTATTCAAGGAAAACAATTTTCACTTGCGTCCTTTGGTATCTAGGAAATGAGGCAATATATTCAAAATCGTCAGAGGACAAGATAATCTTAGAATAACATGAAAAATTATCACTTGAGCTTTTGTCAAGTGGTTTGGAAACATCCTGTATAGGCGTTTTATGCCCAGTATAATACAGACTAACTTGTTATGGCGACAATACGTTAAGACGGGAGAAATAGAAAGAAAAAGTCCGGTCTGCTGGAAAGAGTGTTGGGAACCATCCATTCATCCATCCGTCCATCCTTCCATCCGTCCATCCTTCCATCCGTCCATCCGTCCATCCGTCCATCGTCCATCCGTCCATCCGTCCATCCGTCCATCCGTCCATCCGTCCATCCGTCCATCCGTCCATCCGTCCATCCGTCCATCCGTCCATCCGTCCATCCGTCCATCCGTCCATCCGTCCATCCGTCCATCCGTCCATCCGTCCATCCGTCCATCCGTCCATCCGTCCATCCGTCCATCCGTCCATCCGTCCATCCGTCCATCCGTCCATCCGTCCATCCGTTCATCCATCCAGCCGTCCAACCGTCATCCGTCCATGCGTCCATCCGTCCATCGGTCTATCCATTCATCCATCCATCCGTCCATTCAAGTGGTTTGGAAACACCCTGTAAGTATAGGCGTTTTTTGCCCAGTATAATACAGACTAACTTGTTATGGCAACAATACATTAAGAGGGAGAAATAGGAAGAAAGGTCCGGTCTTCTGGAAGGAGTGTTGGGGTCCATCCATTCATCCATCGGTCCATCCGTCCATCCGTGCATCCGTCCATCCGTCCATCCGTTCATCCGTCGATCCGTCCATTCGTCCATTCGTCCATCCGTCCATCCGTCCATGCGCCCATCCGTCCACCCGTCCATCCATCATCCGTCCAACCGTCCATCGGCCTATCCGTTCATCCGTCCATCCATCCATCCAAGTGGTTTGGAAACACCCTGTAAGTATAGGCGTTTTTTGCCCAGTATAATACAGACTAACTTGTTATGGCGACAATACGTTTAGAAGGGAGAAATAGGAAGAAAAAGTCCGGTCTTCTGGAAGGAGTGTTGGGGTCCATCCATTCATCCATCGGTCCTTCCGTCCATCCGTCCATTCGTCCATTCGTCCATCCGTCCATCCGTCCATGCGCCCATCCGTCCATCCGCCATCCATCCAACCGTCCATCCGTCCATCGGTCTATCCGTTCATCCGTCCATCCGTCCATCCAAGTGGTTTGGAAACACCCTGTAAGTATAGGCGTTTTTTGCCCAGTATAATACAGACTAACTTGTTATGGCGACAATACGTTTAGAAGGGAGAAATAGGAAGAAAAAGTCCGGTCTTCTGGAAGGCGTGTTGGGGTCCATCCATTCATCCATCGGTCCATCCGTCCACCCGTCCATCCGTCCATAGGTCCATCCGGCCATCGGTCCATCCGTCCATCCGTCCATCCGTCCATCCGTCCATCTGTCTATCCGTCCATTCGTCCATCCGCCATCCGTCCAACGGTCCATCCGTCCATCGGTCTATCCGTTCATCCGTCCATCCGTCCATCCAAGTGGTTTGGAAACACCCTGTAAGTATAGGCGTTTTTTGCCCAGTATAATACAGACTAACTTGTTATGGCGACAATACGTTTAGAAGGGAGAAATAGGAAGAAAAAGTCCGGCCTTCTGGAAGGCGTGTTGGGGTCCATCCATTCATCCATCGGTCCTTCCGTGCAGCCGTCCATCCGTCGATCCGTCCATCCATCCATCCGTCCATCCGTCCATCCGTCCATCCGTCCATCCGTCCATCCGTCCATCCGTCCATTCGTCCATCCGTCCATGCGCCCATCCGCCATCCGTCCAACCGTCCATCCGTCCATCGGTCTATCCGTTCATCCAAGTGGTTTGGAAACACCCTGTAAGTATAGGCGTTTTTTGCCCAGTATAATACAGACTAACTTGTTATGGCGACAATACGTTTAGAAGGGAGAAATAGGAAGAAAAAGTCCGGTCTTCTGGAAGGCGTGTTGGGGTCCATCCATTCATCCATCGGTCCTTCCCCGTCCAGCCGTCCATCCGTCCAGCCGTCCATCCGTCCATCCGTCCATCCGTCCATTCGTCCATCCGTCCATCCGTCCATGCGCCCATCCGTCCATCCGCCATCCGTCCATCCGTCCATCGGTCTATCCGTTCATCCGTCTATCCGTCCATCCAAGTGGTTTGGAAACACCCTGTAAGTATAGGCGTTTTTTGCCCAGTATAATACAGACTAACTTGTTATGGCGACAATACGTTTAGAAGGGAGAAATAGGAAGAAAAAGTCCGGTCTTCTGGAAGGCGTGTTGGGGTCCATCCATTCATCCATCGGTCCATCCGTCCATCCGTCCATCGGTTCATCCGTCCATCGGTTCATCCGTCCATCCGTACATCCATCCACCCGTCCATCGGTCTATCCGTCCATCTGTCCATCCGTCCGTCTGTCCGCCCCACCATCGATTTCTCTCTCTCCCTCACTCTCCCTCTTTCTACCTCTCTCTCCCTCTGTCTCTCCCTTTTCTCCTCCCTCCCCCTCTCCCCCCTCTCTCCCGCTCTATCTCCTCTCTCCCTCTCTCTCTCCCTCTCTCTCGCTCTATCTCCATCTCTCTCCCTCTCTCTCGCTCTATCTCGCTCTCTTTCCATCTCTCTTTTCTTCCACCCTTTTCTCTCTTTCTCTCACTCTCCTTTTCTCTATCCATCCGTCATCCGTCTATCCGGCCATCCGTCCATCCGTCCATCGTCCATCCGTCCATCCGTCCATCCGTCCATCGTCCATCCGTCCATCCGTCCATCCGTCCATCCGTCCATCCGTCCTTCCGTCCATCCGTCCATCCGTCCACCCGTCCAACCGTCCATCCGTACATCCGTCCATCCGTCCATCCATCCACCCGTCCATCGGTCTATCCGTTCATCTGTCCATCCGTCCGTCTGTCCGCCCCACCATCGATTCTCTCTCTCTCCCTCATATTCCCTCTTTCTACCTCTCTCTCCCTCTGTTTCTCCCTTTTCCCCTCCCTCCCCCTCTCCCCCTCTCCCCCCTCTATTTCCTCTCTCCCTGTCTCTCTCCCTCTCTCTCCCTCTCTCTCCCTCTCTCTCTCGCTCTATCTCGCTCTCTCTCCATCTCTCTCCATCTATCTCCCTCTCTTTCCATCTCTCTTTTCTTCCACCCTTTTCTCTCTTTCTCTAACCATCCGTCATCCGTCTATCCGGCCATCCGTCCATCCGTCCAACCGTACATCCGTCCATCCGTTCATCCGTTCATCCGTTCATCCGTCCATCCGTCCATCCGTCCATCCGTCCATCCGTCCATCCGTCCATCAGTCCATCCGTCCATCCGTCCATCCATCCATCCGTCCATCCGTCCATCCGTCCATCCGTCCATCCATCCATCCGTCCATCCGTCCATCCGTCCATCCGTCCATCCGTCCATCCGTCCATCCGTACATCCGTCTATCCGTCCACCCGTCCAACCGTCCATCGGTCTATCCGTTCATCCGTCCATCCAAGTGGTTTGGAAACACCCTGTAAGTATAGGTGTTTTTTGCCCAGTATAATACAGACTAACTTGTTATGGCGACAATTCGTTTAGAAGGGAGAAATAGGAAGAAAAAGTCCGGTCTTCTTGAAGGAGTGTTGGGGTCCATCCGCCCATCCGTCCATCCGTCCATCCGTCCATCCGTCCATCCGTCTATCCGTCCTTCCGTCCATCCGTCCTCTATGTAGACAGTCCACGAGTGCTTTGGGTGTTGTCAAGTGCTACGTGCCCCAAAACTGCTATTTCCGTGGCTTTATTTCTAACTGGTCGATTTTCACGATGGCGATCACGCCGAATCGTAGACACAGATCTAGTTTCTTCAAATTTTCTTATCAACTGAGCCACATATTTATCGTGAATGTCTGGATGTGACGCATTAAACATCCGGGCAGTAGCTACCCTTTCTTGAAATAAATAAGTCATTGTTCAATATTTATCACAACTAGGTAGGTATCTTAACAATTTGAAATGAAAGACAAAGTTTTTCTATGACATGCGATGACACTGACTGATGCTAAATGTTGCTAAATTGCTGGTATCTATGATTATTATTTTTTGCCGTGCATTCCATTATTATCAGTATTAAGGTAGTCGAATTGTATTATATAGACTCAAATAGCTTCACAATGATTGAAAGATAGGTATAAATTGTATTATACAAAAGTTACTGAAGACTTCATGGAAATCTAAAAACAAAAAAAACGGGAGTTTCTATTTAAAAATCTAAACTGTAACGCAATATCTTATTTTTGGATACCCTGTATTGTACGGTTATAGATCCTCCTAGAAATCAAAATTGACGTGTCCGAGCGTTTTTTCCAAAATATACTAGGAGAGTTACAAATGGACATGCGACCTTTTCGTTGGGCCATCCTGTATAAAATCCCTTGAGAAAATTTCCCCAGGTCTTTTTGGGGGCTCATAATTATGATCATAAGATACAGTTCCACGTTGCCAATGTTTAATCGACCCTCCCTGATTAAAATTCCTGTGGGCGCCCATTGATTTTGAGCAGCTTTTGACAGTTTTCCGTTTTTCAGCTGGTCAACGATCATTCCTTATCGGATTATGGTATTAACGATGGTCATGTGGTTTCCATGGTCGTCAAGCAACCAAATCTGCTTGAGGGCGAAATCTCCAATAATTCAACTTCGTCAAGCAGTGCTCAACAAATGTGTTCGCAACAATATGAAAATAGTGGATGTACGAGTAATGAATATTACAAAGTAGGAGAATATGTTGACGTGCGTATGGACAATGGCGCATGGTATGAATCAGAAATAGTACAAATAACATCTTGTGGGACTAATACGGAGAATGTTGATCAAGAATGCATCATTTTCACTGTAAAAAGTGAGTATTTTATTTGATGCCGGCTATCATACATCATGTCGTGGAGTTCGTGAGCGCCGAATCTCGTCGAAAATGATAGAGACCTCCTCATAAATAACCACCATATCTACATACTAAAATTGCGACGACCGTGAAAACGTGCTTTCTCTATCTGCATTTTACAAATGCCTCAAGGACGAAGTTAAAGATATGGTGGTTTAAATGCACTAAAATGCAACATCTCATTTCTTGCGCGTTTTCTAAAAATAGCGGTCAAATATGGCCAAATACTGTTTTTTGCTCTGAATAGTTACCAAACTGAACTTTTAAGAAAAATACGAAAAATATTGTGTAGTTGTGTAGTTTTTCTTAGTTCTGAGCCAATCAATAAACGAATAAGATAGTTATTGCAAAAAACTCTCGATTGGATTATTTTTAATTGCTCATATCTACCTCAAAAGCAAATGAATTTCAATAAAATATATATATACGAGTATGTATATATACGAGTATATATATATATTTACATCTCCATGTGGATCGGTAATCCTTTCAATTCCCAGCAATAAGTCACCTACCAGAAATATCGAATATATATCAAATTTGATCGTGTATATCCAACAAAAAGGCAAACTGATCCAGGATCAGCTCAAAAAACTGTACATTAACATTTCGGATTTTCATATAAAGTCCGCTATATAGGTCTACCTTTTAAAAACCGTAAGATGTGTCCTCTACCGGAATACCCTTCAGATCACAAAACGGCATTCGGTCCCCCAGAATACTCAAATTAACTAAACACCAGTAGATAAGTCATCCGTGCAGTGGTGCCAAGTTTCATTTATTTCTCTTTACATAATACTACTGAAGTCTCCTAACTTGGACTTGTATTATTATATTATTTTTCAAGGATCTCCAATGGATATAACCAAAATTCTTTCCAGCAACTTTGAGTACACTATTTGCTCGATTAAGACTATACAAAACGTTGCTAGCATACGACAGAAGGATGCCCAACGTTTCGTAAATTATAACTTACCTATGCAAAAATTATCAGATCATCGAGCAGCCCACACAATCAAGAATACTTTTTTCTATTACATGTCCAGGAGGTTGTATGAACTTTCAGATCGAGCACTTTGCTTTTCCAATAGCCTATGTCGTATCGACGACATCCTAATGATGATAAGCTTTAGACGCGTAATTTCCAAATCTGTGATATTAGCAGTTGAAATACTTCCCTGCCCTCCGGTTCGCAAAAAACAGCATTGAGTATCCTAAAATACTTGAATTACCTAATCACTATACTGAGCCTTACAATCATGTGACGTTATCTTTGGATAAGGAAATCACCATTCATGTTTGGTACCATCTATCTATGAGAATATTCCTAATCTTGAAATAA